CTCAGCCCATCCACCTCACACCCACCATGGGAGGCACTAGATGGAGCATGAGGGCAGTGTCTCTATGGAGAGCAGCTGGGCCCCTGAAGAAGGGCATGCTTGAATTGGTGGATGGGATGTGGGCCTGGGCAGGTGGGGAGCGGTGTCCGGGCGTGGGATAGGTGGGCATGGGGCAGGGCCCAGGGCTGGGGCTGGGATTGCAGGGCAGTGACAGTGTGGGACTGGGGCCCAGGACAGAGCCTCAATCCATTCCCCACTCATCACTATGACAGGAGCCAGTTCCCTGACCTGCAGTTCCCTGTGGAACTGGTGCTCATTTGTGCAGGGAGTGGATTGCAACTCTGCCCTGGGCCCTGGCCCCATGCTGTCACCACCCTGTGATCCTGGCCAACACCCCACCCATCCATTCATTCCTGAATGCTGCTCCCTGCCCATCTGTGGCCCTATCCCATCTGCCTGGCTGAGTGCATCATGCCCATAGGGGTCCCAAACCAATCTCCATGAAGACCCTGCCCTCCTGCCCCATTCAGCACCCCTGGTGGTGGGTACAGGGCAGATGGGCCTGGAAAGAATAAACTGAAATCTCTCCAGGTCACCCGCCCTCACTGCTGCTGCTACTGCTATCGCCCTGGGCAGTGTAAACAGCTGTGAGAGGGGCTGAAGCTGGGTTAGCATCATAGATTCATAGATGTTAGGGGCTGAAAGTGACCTTATAAGATCATTGGGTCCAGCCCCCCTGAATTTGGGCAGGAAAGGCTGCTGGGGTCAGATGACCCCAGCAAAGTGGGCACCAAGATGCTTTTTGAAGATCGCCAGGGTAGGTGACTGTACCACCTCTGGGGGAGTCTGTTCCAGACCCTTGGCACCCAAATTGTAAAGTTTTTCCTTATGTCTAATTTGAAGCAATCTTCAATCAGTTTGTGCCCATTGTTTCTGGTCTTCCCCCGGGGTGCCTTGGTAAACAGATGCTCCCTCAGGCCCTGATGTATGCCCCTTATATACTTATAGGCTGCCGCCAAGTCTCCTCTAAGTCTTTTTTGTATTCCAGGCTGAACAGTCCCATGTTTTTCAACCTCTCCTCATATGACCTGCTCTCTAGACCTCTAATCATGTGCATGGCCTTCCTTTGGACTCTCTCAAGCTTCTCCACATCCTTCCTGAACTGCAGCGCCCAGAACTGGTTGCAATACACCAGCTGTGGTCTCACCAAGGCCAAGTAGAGCTGGAGGATGACATCCTTAGTCTTGCTTGACATGCATCCATAAACGCATGCCAGCGTTTGATTTGCTCTGCCAGCTACGGCATCGTATTGGTGGCTCATGTTCATTCTGTGTTCTATCACGAGCCCCAGGTCTCTTTCAGTTGTGGTGTTGGCAAGCATAGCACTGCCAAGCCTTTAAGTGTGTTGTGGATTATTTCTCCCCAGATGGAGCACTTTACATTTCTCCGTGTTCAACATCATCAGGTTATGATCCACCCACCTTGCAAGCCTGTTCAGGTCAGCCTGTATCACTAGCCTCTCCCTGAGCGTGACGATACTTCCACATAATTTGGTGTCATTCACAAACTTGTGAAAAAAAGCCAGTATGCTTTTAATACCTGAATCCAAATCATTGATGAACATGATGAAAGACACTGGTCTGAGTACTGAACCCTGAGGGACACTAGTGTTCATCTCCCGCAATGTTGACTCAGTTACGTCTATTAATACTTTCTGGGTCCTACCTCAGAGCCAGTTACCAAGCCACCAGACCATAAAGTAGTCGAGGCTGCATTTTCCCAATTTTACTATGAGGACATTGTGGGAAACTAAATCAAAGGCCTTTTTGAAGTCCAAGTATATGACATGAACCTCATTTCCCTTATCCAGGTGGTGAATTACCTGATCTTAGAAGGAAATGAGGTTGGTCAGGCATGATCTACCTGCAGTGAAGCCATGTTGGCTGTCCTTTAGAATACTGCATTCTGTTAGCCTATCAATAATGAATTCTTTGATATTTTTCCCATTATTTTACCAGGGATTGAGGTCATACTGATTGGTTTATAATTCCCTGGGTTCTCCTTTCTCCCTTTCTTGAAAATAGGTACCACACTGGCCCTCTTCCAGTCTTCTGGGACCTCTCCCAAGTGCCACAAGTCCTCAAATAGCTTTGTTATGGGTTGCACGATGATGTCGGATGGTTCTTTTAGCACTCTTGGGTGTAGTTCATTTGGTCCTGCTGACTTGTAGATATTCAGCCTCTCTAGGTGCTCCCCCACAAGATCTTGACCAACTATGGGAGGGTGATCACCCCCATCTTGATCATCTTATATCCTGTTGAGCATGCTAATACCTGTGGACTGGTGGAATACTAATGCAAAGTATTTGTTTAGGAGTTTGGTTTTTTCCTGAGTGTTGGTTATCAGCTGTCCCATTTTGTTCATCAGGGGCTCTATGCTTCCCTTATTTTTTTCTGACTTCCTACATATCTAAGGAGGGACTTTTTGTTGTCCTTGATTCCAGTTGCCAATTTGAATTTGGTTTCTGCTTTTGCTTTTGTAATCCACTCCCTACAGGTGTGGGCTATTGCTCTGTACTCCTCTTTGGTGGTAATTTCTGATTTTCATCCCTTACAAGCTTCTCTTTTCAATATCAGGAGGTCTATGACTTCCCTATTGAGCCAAGGAGGTCTCCCAACCCTTTTGCTGCCTTTCTTATGAAAAGGAATGGACTTCCTTTGTGCTCCTAGGATTGCTTCCTTGAGGAATGACCACCCTTCTTGTGCTCCCTTCCCAAATGGACCATGGTCCTGCAGGGCCTCACCAACCAATCTCCTAAGCTTGTGGAAGTCAGCTTTCCTAAAATCTAGGGTTTCTACCCTACTGACTAGTTTCCCTGTCTTACGGTGGATGGAAAAAGTGATCATTTCATGGTCACTGTTGCCTAGTTTCCCTTCAATCTTCAGGTTGCTCACTAGATCATCCCCTTTAGCCAGAACCAAGTCAAGGATTGCCTTACCCCTTGTCAGCCCTTAGACTTCTTGAGTCAGACAGAGCTCTTCAGTGCAAGTGTGGAAGCTCTTGCTGAGTGCTCATCTCATGGGTAGTTGAAGTCATCTATGGTGACCATGCTCCAAGAGCATGCAGCCTCTGCCAGTTCTCTAGAGAATTCCTGGTTGAGTTCTTCCTCTTGGTTTGGAAGCCTGTAGTAAACTCCTACAGTCAAATCCCCTTCTCCGTGCTCTCCTCATATCTTGACCCAGAGGGTCTCAAGTTGCCCTTTATTGCCAATCTCTGCTTCTAGGGAGGTGTACTCTTCCTTCATGTAGAGAGCAACTCCCCCACCCTTCTTCCCAATATGATCTCTCCTATGCAAAGTGTATCCCTCTATACCTGTGGTCCAATCATAGGTGGAGTCCCACCAGGTCTCTATAATCCCTATGAGATTGTATTGCTTGTTGGTTAGCAGGAGGGCCAGTTCCTCCTGCTTATTCCCCATGCTCCTGGCATTTGTGTACAGGCAACTAAGCCTGCTATTAGAGGTCCTACGCTTCCTGGTGTGCTGCAAAAAATCCTGTCCTTTGACTGGTGTCAGAATATTCTTCCTGTTGTTCTCTGATTTGCTGGTTCCATGGTTGTCATTTCTTGGGATTGTACTAGTAGTTGCCTGTGTGTCCCCAGGCAATCTTAGTTTAAAGTCCTATCCATGAGGTCCACCATTCTAGCTTAGAAAAGCTCCTTCCCCTTCAGTGTGAGGCAGATACCGTTCCTTTCCAACAGGCCGCAGTCTCTGAAGTGTGTACTGTGGTCAAAGAAGCTGAAGCCTTTGCAGTAACACCAGCACCAAAGTCTTCTGTTCACTTCTTCTATGCATCTGCCCCTTCTGTACCATGACCCATAACCAAGAGGAACTAGGAGAAAACTACCTGTGCCCCCAAACCCCTGAGCCTAGCCCACAGAGCCCATCCCCCACCAAGAGCTCACCAAAACTCCTTAAGTGGCCCTCCAGCCAATATTATTGTCCACCCCTGTGTCAGAGGCTTAAGTGGACTTAGACACTTAACTGTGACTTTGTTTCACCATGTTTAAGTCCCTGAAAATCCATTAATGCATCTGTTTTTATAACATATTGTTATCTGATCCTTAAGGCTAGGTGCATCTACATGTGCAATTAACCTGGGAGCAGTTTACTCTACAGTTAAGTACTCAAGAGTAAACTCTCCCAGGCATGTGTCTACATGTGCAGGGACGTGGAAGCAGATCCTTATCTCCCAGCCCCAGCTCTGCAGTCACAGGCCTGGGCTGGGAGATAAGGACCTCCCAGCCCCAGCCCTGCAATCGCTCCAGTGGCAGAGCCCGCCCCAGCAGCAGGCAGCTCCCAGGGTCAGGGAGCAATGACCCTCCCCCTTGTGCCCAGCTTAACAGAAGCAAATGTGCTCCTGGTCAGGTGTCCACATGCTCACTTCTGTTTAGTAAGTAACTGAGAGTTAGTTTGCTACTTGCATTTGCAGGTAGCAAATTTACTCCCACTTAGAGCCAATTATTGCGTATAAAGCATTTGCATGTGTAGATGGTGACACTTACTGTGTAGTCATTAGATCTAGCCTCCAGTAAAGCATCTCATGTAGATGCGCCCACTGAGTCAAAAAATTGCAAAGAGGACGAGAACTCACCTACCTTTTGAATTCAGTATTTTTTCATGGATTTGAACAAGGCTATAAAGAATCACTCTTAGGCACTTATGCATCTAATGGATGGAATAAAATCTGGTCTCAAGCATACAGTAACAGTACATTCCTGCAGGCTCTGTAATATCAATACATGCAGGGATATCATGATATCAAGGAAACTTTATGGTATCTATCCATTCACTGATATCACAAGGGCTAGGGGAAATACTGACCACACATACCTGCTACCTGATAAAGAATATTGATCACCCTTGTGTCCATCTTCTCCCAAGCAAGCAGACAGTAAGACTCAATGCCTTGTTTTTTTAAATAAGATACTAGTGGGTTTACCTGCACATCCCAGCGTGCACCCTCCATGAATAAGCCATGTATATAGGCCCCTTCACGAGGAGGGTTGCTGAAATCCTCCTTGTTCTTCTTTGTCATGTCACATTGCAGGGCCATTTTATCCAAAGGCCACTCATTCTTTCGGGCCATGGACTGCATGATGGCTGTCAAGAAAGACTGAGGGTTGAAGAATCCTGCTAACCACACTGCGGAGGGCAAGGAGAAGTCTCCTGTCCATGTCTCAAGTTCCTTGATGCGGTTGAGAAGGTCAGCAAACCAGCTAGCCAAGCCAGCTGTAGAAGGATAAGCCCTCTTAGTCCAAGACTCAGGCACCGTGTCCAGGAAGATAGCATTCTGCAAGTTCTCCATATCACCAGTCATGGTCAGCTCCCCCTGAAGAAGTACCAGAAAGAAGATGGTAATAATAAACAAAGGCAGAACAATGAAATGTTCTCACTTTTGTGATGGAATATGGTAGCTGCTTAATACTGGGCAGTGGCCACTTTGCACAACAAGTTAAATCAGAAACTGCAGAATAATGTCCAAACTGCTCACCTTCTCTGCTTTTGAACCTGTCCCCAGACATCTAGAGGGGAAAATATGTAGGGCCAAGAGGAAGGGGAGAAACATGGCTCAGTGGGATGGACACTACCCTGGAAAAATAGTTGCCTTAGGTTCTGGCCCTGGTTTCTAGACCTATGGGGGGGTCAAAGTTATCCCACTATTATCAATTTTATCCAATGAATATTAAATGCAAAGTGCAGAAAAGCTATTTGGGTTATGTAAGTGAAACAGGATTTGGCCCCAAGCTTCCAATTGTTCATTTTTGGTCACTCTATTCCTGTAACACCCTTTTCTGAATAATTAGAGGTGTTTTACAAAATTAAGGTAAGGGTGCCAGCATTGGCTCAAGTTGATTAGTATTTTCCATATAAGGAGTTATTTTTAATTGTTTATCACTTTGTCAAACTTTAACTCACATTTTCTTTCTGCCTCAGGCTGAATGGTTTTGGAGAGTTTAATTGGGAACAGCTGACCAGTTGATGAGAATGAGTTTTGGGGAAAATGGGTCATTCTATTAATGTTAAAAAAAATTGTTTCTTCAAAGGGCTTCAGTGCCTTCAGGAACAGCTTTGAAGTCAAAAAGGTTCTATATAACTCCATCCAAAATCTAGCCAACTTATACACTTAGTAGAGCTGGTTAGAATTTTGACATCTAAAATCTCAATTTCAGTTCAATTTCTTTATTAGCGACTTGGACAACAGGGTGAAAAGCACCCTGTTTAAATTCATAGATGACACCAAGATTTGAGAAGAGGTGGGCACACTAGAAGGGAAGGACAGATTACAGCAGGACCTGGACAGGTTACAGGGGTGGACAAATGAAAATAGGATGGGATTCAATACTGACAAGTGCAGGGTGCTGCACATGGGCAGTAAGAACCAGCAGTATACCTATAGGTTGGGGAACTCCCTTCTTGAAAGCATGGTGGCAGAAAGAGATCATGGAGTCATTTCTGACTCCAAGATGAACATGGGTCAACAATGCGAGAACACAGTCAGTAGGGATAACCGTACCTTGTTGTGTATCCACAGATGCATCTCAAGCAGGGCCAAGGAGGTGATCCTCCCCCTCTATGCAACACTGGGCAGGCCACAGTTGGAGTACTGTGTCCAGTTCTGGGGGCCGTACTTCAGGAGGGATGTGGACAGCATTGAGAGGATCCAGAGGAGGGCCACGCGCATGATCCAGGGATAGCAGGGCAGACCCTACGAAGAGAGGCTATGGGACCTTAACCTGTTCAGCCTTCACAAGAGAAGGCTGAGGGGGGACCTGGTGGCCATCTATAACCTTGCTAGGGGGGACCAGTGGGGTTTGGGAGAGACCTTGTTCCCTTGAGCGCCTCCCGGAATAACAAGGAATAATGGCCATAAGTTGTTAGAGAGTAGGTTTAGACTAGACATTAGAAGGCACTACTTCACAGTCAGAGTGGCTAGGATCTGAAACCAACTTCCAAGGGAAGTGGTGATGACTCCTACCCTGGAGGTCTTTAAGAGAAGGCTTGACATTTACCTGGCTGGGGTCATTTGAGCCCAGTTTTCTCTCCTGCCCACGGCAGGGGGTCGGACTAGAAGATCTACAAGGTCCCTTCCAACCCTACATCTATGAATCTATGAATCTATGAAGATCCTATCTGTACTAAGCATACTCCATTCCCCTTGGAGCTCCTACAAGCAATTGTATTGATCATGTTCTCAGGCCCCACCAGTCTCCAATATGACAGATAAAAAGCCAGAGCTCTACCAAGAACATAAATACAATATTTCCTGACACTTTGTGGTGACATTATATTTTAAAGGCTTTGAAAAGCCTTCAGCGAATTGAAAGAAGTTTTTTCTGCCCAGAGTTTCTTCATTCCATGTCTAAGATCTGTCTCCTCAGTACTGTGAGCTCTTGCACATTAAGATTACAAAAAAGTGTCCATCTGGGCTAATGCACAATAGCACCTATTACAGTGCATTTACTAATTGTTATTCCGGGTAGTAAACTTACTGTGCTATAAGGACTGTGTGAAACGGCTGTGTTTCAATTTGGTTTTGGATTCAGCCATTTCAGAGGACAGTGATTCATTTCGGTGTTTTGGATCACTGTCCTGTTTCATTTCAGCCAAATCTGTTTTGGAGAAAGCCTCCTTCCTGGTCATGTACAGGGCCCGCTTGGCCAGGGCCAGGAGGAGGTTGATCAAGAGGTCCCAGGACTTGGTAGGACCATGGATGGGGTGTCCAAAAATAAAAAGGTGGGGGGTAAGGTCCATCCAAAACCTCAAAAGGAGGTTCCGGAGGTAGAGGTGAAGGCTGCAGCCTGGTGCACTCGAGCGTCATGTGTGCCCGAATCTCCCTCTGCCCAAAAAAAAGGCAGAAGACTGGGGTGTTGGTAAAGCTCGCCACATACATGCCCATGGCAATGGCTCCATGGAGGAGTCACCAGCTGAGGTCCCCAGCAAGGTTCCCTCTAAGCTGTGCACATGAGCAGCCGTGAACAAGAATTTTTTTTGCCACGCAGTAACTTTTTAATGCCACGCACCCGCCCCAACCCAGCCAAAGGCTGCTGCAGGAGAGGGGAGGGGCAGGCAAACTAAGATGCCCACACACTCCCAGCTAGGATCCCAGTGCAGGCAGGTAAATTTCACTGGGCTGGGGGGGGGTGCAGATTGAGACCTCCCACAGAGGGAGTGTGGTAGGGGCAGGGCACTGCCCTGCTCTCTCCTGCACTGTGGGGATTGTCCCACAACTTGGCCCAGCCGGGGGCCCATTCACTGTGAATGGGGCCCCAGCCAGCCTGGGGCAATTGCAGCCTGGCAGTTCATCCAGGGGTGTGGGTGGGCGGCTCCCACCACTGTGTGCACCGTGGAGGAGGGGGAGCACATTCCCCTCCCCAGCTCTCCCTGCACCATGACCCTGCATGAGCCACTGGGCTCTGATTGCCCCATGACCTGGCCCTGATCCCAGTGGGCCCTCCAGATGCATGGCACAGGCAGACAAGTGAGGGCATGTGGCTCAGCCTGGCCCTTGATCTTTGCATGGGGCAAGGGCAGGCGGGTGGGATCAAGATGCAGTCAACCTGGTTCTGCTTATCAGGGCCTTCTGCACAGGCAGCCTGGTGCTGGCTGCCCCCCAGTAGCTCCTTTGTGTAACAACTCTGCAGGTTGGAACACCAGTTGCAGGGGTACTGCAATTGGAAAAGATACTACTTTATTTTTTCAATCTACAATCAGGATCCAAAAGGAGGAATAACTAATTATGTGACAGCTGAAAGCATTGGCAATCACATGTAAGTTTGGAAAAATAAAGATTCCCTTATTAGAGACAGAATTATCTGTGGACCATCTGGGCCTAAAACGAGGGAGAGATTGCTGGGAGTATTATGAAAGTATCTTCATGTCCCTTTGTTAATCCATGGTCTGTCCGCACATTAAGTACCATGCCCAGTTCTGGTTCCCGTGACTCCAATCAGCCATTTTATGAAGGGATTGAATACATTCTTGGAGGAAAGGGGCATCAGTAGCTATCAGTGTTCCCTCTAAGATGCTCATGGACCAAAGTGGCACACTTATGGACTACTACACCTTAGAGGGAACATTGGTCCTCAGTGGCTTATGGGATGAGGGTGGAGTACAGGCTCAGCCACTGGGGCACCTCCCCAATTATGCCCTCACTGAACAGATCCCACCACTTGGTTTCTGGATGGGACACAAGGATGTGATGGTGGATCATGCAGCACATGAGCATGTAGAGGTGGCAGCGATGGACGGTGGAGAAACAGATTGTTTTGGTGTCTTTCAGCTGGCTCAGGTGGTGGACCGGGGAGTTCCACAAGGCCGGACAAGGCGCCAGCCCCACAACAAACTCTGATGGGCTGGAGAAC